TGCGCCCCCTTTGGGTAAAGAGGATGACAAGAAAGGCGACATGCTTTGCTTGTGATCAAGTTCCTTGAAAGCTAACGACGATTCAGTCGAACTAGCGTCAGGGGGTGTAGGCGTGAGATGTGTGTGATGAACTGAACTACTGCTCCTAAGAGAGGGAAGCTCAGGAGTATCGCCATGGCGACTTTTGGCAAAGAAGGAGCTTTTGGAAGCCGTCATAGGGGTTGTGGGTGTCTTTGGCAATTGCCGGGCTGGTGGTGGAGTTTCGTGCCTTTCTACACTGCTGTGGTCCTGCAACGCTGCAATCTTGTTAGCAGTTGGGGTGCTCAAAGGTCCCAGGTTAATTGGTGGAAGTCTTAGAGGCTGTAGATGTCGCTTATTAGGAGGAGTGGCCTTGTTATCAGGCTCAGCCGTCACACTCGGAACATAGCTCTTTCGTGCACTGGGCTTCCTCTGAAGCTTCGTGGGCTCAGGAAAGACAGGCATAGAAATGACTCCAGTAGAGTTTGAGTTCATGCCCATGGCGTCCATGTTACTAAGCGCAGTCTTTTTCTTCTCCATAAAATAAGTGTCTGCGGGCGAGTCTTTCGGCGACTCGTAGGCTTTTGGTATAGCAGGAACGGGCGGGACATATTCGTCATCGTCAGCCGGAATAGGATTGTGGACTGTAGTATGTTTTGGCGCAGGTAAGCGTGACGTTGATGAAGAACCAGATATACGGTGTAGCGATCCAGTTGACGTTCTGGCCGAGTTCAGGCTGAAGCCCGAGTTGACTGATAGATTTGAGTTGAAGGATTTACGGTGGAGGTCTGGCGTAGTTCTCGAGGATGATGGGGTACCAGAAGTTCGTCTTGGAATCATAGAAGGCGATTTCGATTCAGCTCTCTCAGGTTGATTGTTCATCGACACTGGTGGTGGAGGCGGAGGGGTGGAAACCTGACCAAGACTCAATGACTGAGGCATTGTTGAGAGTCGCTTCATCCTCCTTGTATCAGTGGGACTAATTGTCCTCGCGCCTAGGCCAGTCGCATGTGATGAATGGTGGGCACCGGGCATCATCGAAACTCTCTTGTTGGCGGAGGACGGTGTGCTTAATCGGCCTCCGACCCGAGGTGATCGCGGGGCCAGGGCAGAGTGTCGGTTCTGCTCTGGGGTAAGGGTGTTACCAAGACCAAGGTTGGTTTGATTTGGTCGTGGTGGCGGTTGTACTGATTTGGATTTCGCAGCCCTTGAGTTGGGGAAATTTCTTGTATTATCGAGCCACGATGGATTGGCGTCCATTGAAGCTCTCGTCGAGCCAGTAGGCGTCCCTTCAGAGAAGAGACTGGGGCGTCGCTTCTGGGGAGGTCGCGCTCCGTAGTCCCCATCGCCAACAATTCCTGGGCCGATCGACTTTCGAGGGGGTTTTGGCACGACGGTATTGGAGACAGGCGGGTATTGACTTTGTCGACGAGAGCGTGCAGCGCCCGGCCCGTGGATATGATCAGTCGGACCAGAAGCACCGGAGGCATTAGCAGGCGGTCTGTTGGAATTACTAGGTCGACGCAGTAGCGAGCCTGATCGAGCCGGCCGAGTGTTGGTTTGGACAGCAGTTCGAGTGGCAGCACCATTCGATGACGGAACTACTTGAGATCTAGAAGACATACTGGCGTTATCTTCCCCGTGCGTGTCGAGGATGCCCCCTTCGCCGTTGGGAGACGGGAATTGGGTCAGTTTGAAGTCTGTTGAAGCGGATTCGATGCTACTCTGTAAATCGTCGAAGCTAACAGAGGGCAAGAAATCGAAAGAGGCAGTCGAGTCGTTCAATTGACCTGAATCTCCATCACGACTAAAAGAAAAAATGGAATGATTATTGGAAGGAGTTGCGCTGAGCATTGGATCATCGGAAGCGAAGGCAAATCCAGGGTTCGTCGAGGGGATATGTGGTCGAGGCTGATCGTTGGCGGTTTTGCCCCTGTCACAAAGGGATCAAGGTCAGCTTGGCCATGTGCAGAAATGCAGGGCGATAAAAGACTTGGATATGACGATAACAACGGTACGCCAGAACACGCATTGACCAAGTTGTCAAACAAACGAAACAAATAGAAAAATGTCAGATGGAAAAGGCTCACAATCGCGTTGGAGAAAAGTTGGCTGGTCGAGGCCCAGCAGGTGCCTTGTGGTCGCGGCTCATGGGGTCCAAGGTCGAGGGGCGTGGCTGGCAATGCGACGAAGGTGGATTTCACAGGGTCGGGTCGCTGGCACAGACTCAGTCCGGTCAGGGAGCTGAGCGCATTCGAACGGCTACCTCATTCCGGAACCGATAAGAGTATTGAAGTGCAAGAGAGCAGACAGGATCGAAGTAAGAGTCAGTGAGCGGTTGGCGACAGGCGAAAAGGAGCCTGGAGTGATTGATTGCGGTGGGCACCCTGAGAAAGGGATGGTACAGTAAGATGCGAGATGGAGTAGAATAAAAAGATGGAGTCGTTAAGTTGGTTAGGTAAGGTTGTGTTTTTTTCTTCTCTGGATGGGGATGGCCTTCCCTTAGGTTCATGGAACACTGCTATAGGCGGCCACTGGCAGTTCCGGAAGGAGGCATGGGGAATACCTGCGTGCTAGGGTGCCCCCTTAGGTAGCGGGCATCACACTCTCTAGCGTGTGAAGAAAGGCACCTGAGAGGCCGATATGGTTGGAAGGGGCCTCGTGAAGAACATCGCGGTCGATAATGAGCAGTGGACAGCGGATCTCGACACTGTAGACGAGCAGTTTGATTGGCTACTAGAGCTTTGAATTTGGTCCCTGGATGAGATGCGGGCAGAGGTGGAGGCCCAATACCGGTTGTCGAGATGCCTTTTACCGCCATTTAAGTGGATGCAAGGTACCTGTATCTTGGGTTCATTCTACCCATATCAAATGTATCTTCCCCAACATGAACCTCATACTGCAATACCTTAGGAACGTCCTCTTACTTTATTAGCCTTTCACGAACTCAACGTTGCATATCGAGGAACGTCGACCATTCGTGATGGAATATGGGGGCATTCTCTGAAAAACAATTAATAAATGCCAACCCAAATCCGGGCCAAGGATCTCGCACCCCTGGATGCATTTGTCGCGTTTTATCGTCATCTCATTCCAGGCTACCTTACCTACCTAGGGGAGGAAAGAAAACACAGGACCTCAATCCTAAATGACAAAAAGACTTAGGTAATATAGCCTGAGTTTAGGATAATTTTTGCTAAGTTTATTTTGACACCCTACAGCGAGGTTCGCTGTTTTCTTGCCCCCGAGGGCCTACCTACTAGGTACCTACCTACCTAGGTATTATACTGCTACCCTGCTCTGCCAGCTGGTCTCTATAACACATCCACCACCCGATAATGAGTGGCGATGGCGGTGGTTTTAGGTAGAAGATTTACATGGTTAGTGGAGAAGACAGCGGTTTCGCGAATGAATGCTACCAGCCATACCATCCACGCATAGTGCCGAGTCGCGCGAACCGGTTGACGCATCAACGGGCACTGGCGCAATGCGCTACCCAGGTCGACAAACAGTGTTTGTATTGGGCCGCAATCGGATGTTGACATTGGACCTAAGGTAATCATCATAGCTGGGGTTCATGAAACGACAAGTGACCCGATTTGATGCTACGACATTGGCAAGTGCTTCGTTGTTTCTCAATTAGGCTGTTCGCAACCAGGCTCATGTCTCTAGATCTAAGAGTGCTGGGCTGTACTCGCGACGAGGGACGGGCCAGACGGTGTGGCTAATGGATACTCCGTAGATAGATGTCTTATTCAAGCCTCCCGCTCAGACTAGGAACGTCCCAGTGAACACAAGGATTGAGTCGTGTCTCGGAATTTCAGGGACCCCATCAATTTGCCCCAGCAGGAGCTTTCTCGGGCATCTTCAACCGGTAGGGCCATACGGATGCGTCTCTATTATTTACCAAGCATTTTGCCGGACCAATAAACTAACCTGTCAAGACTGTTGTCAGCTGGTACCTTATGCATTGTTGTCCTGCCAAGCATCAAGGATCTGATGGTCCTGCATCTTGAGTCGTGTTTATTGTTTTTCGCCATCAATACACGGTCTTGGATAAAAGTTGGCAGCTCATAGCTGCTCCCAGCATCTGGTTGCCGCATAGGCAATCTAGCATCTGGCATATGTGAGCTGTCGTTCTCATGGGCAATGTCCTGTTTGAAGTGGATAATGCCCATGGATATGATATGCCACTTCATCTCATCAACTATATATCAGACACCGACGAACTGGGATACACATCAGTGTGGGTGACACAATCAAGTTGTCGGGAAAGAATTCGCGGTTTCAAGGCCATTGCTGGAATTGGCCTACTGAATGCCTCCACGGCTTTACCAATAGCACCAAAATGACGAAGGTTACCCATGCTTTCTTCATTCGATATTCAGTTGTGTGGGGTAAGCCAGATTTAAGGGACGACATGGATGTCGCTATAGTTATCTAAATTCGGGTGGGATATATGTATATGATATGAACCATGTCTCAGGACTTATCAACTTTCTCATGATGTCCGTAGTTCCATCCTTTATTCGGATCGATGCCAAGTCTTCCAGACTTCATCAAACGAGGCAATCCATCTGCATCTAATTTGCTGTACTTATTCAAAGAGCATAACACAGTCCACGGCCCGCTTGGCACTACTGTAAACTCTAGCTGACGGCAGAATCATGGAGGGTATCCAGTAAATTGTTTCCCACCCATAACGAACCTCATTTACCGTTGGTTCGAGGCTAGCTTCTCTCCGTTAGGTATTATTAGAAGCCGTTACCACGGGATCAGTCTAGGTTAGGTAAGTTACCTTATCAACTCGGTACCTAGGTAGCCACAAGCCTCCTTCGGACGTACCTGTAAGTGATGTCACCAGTGTCACATGCTCACCCGCGATCGTGCCATGCACCTCCACGCGGGTATCTTGGACCCCCAGTTCCCTTTTGAATTCTCCACCATCCAAAGTTATACCATGTCTTGAAACATCCCTCCTCATGGACGACTTCACTGCAGAAATGTTCGCTACTGGGCGCAACTTTGACTCCTCCGAGAGCTCAAGCCAGCGCCCCAACAATGACCAGAACGATGACAATGATAAGCAGCCCGAGCCAAAGGCCGAATCAAGCTCTCAGAAAACGGGCCTACGCGGAGGATTAGCTGCTATTCGCCAGAAAGCTAGCTTACAGGACCGATTAGTAGAAAAGTATATTGAGCTGCCCGAGCCGCTGTGATACCGTGCTTTACTGACTGATGCCTTGGTAGACTTCTTCAGCAAGTTATACCCACGGATAGCGATGACCAAACCGAGGTTCACTTCGTCGGTGATGAACAATCTGCTACTCATACCGAGAGGCCGAACTTCAATATCACTACCATGTCCTACAATTTTCGGCGATTCAACGCTCGAATAGGTGTTGTCTTTAAATTCCAGGCCCGTGCCGAACGTATTCTATCCTGGAAGCGCGCGTCGCATACTCTGTCACTCCTCGCCGTCTATAGTTTTGTCTGCCTGGATCCTTATCTCCTATTTGTGCTGCCTGTTGCCATCCTTCTGTTTGGTGTCTTCATCCCTGCGTTCCTAGCTCGGCATCCAGCACCACCCAAGGGAACCTTGTCGAGTGAGCAGAATGTTGGATATTCTCCCCGAGGACCACCTTTGGCACCTGCAGCGACGGTGAAACCAGTCAAGGAACTCAGCAAGGACTTCTTTCGGAATATGCGCGACCTACAGAACTGCATGGATGACTTTAGTCGGGGACATGACCAGGTCGTCGCCTTACTTGTACCAGTGACCAATTTTAGTGATGAGGCTCTCAGTTCTGCTCTATTTTTATTTCTTACAGCCGGAGGCATTTTCATGACCATTGCGGCCCAGATTCTACCCTGGCGCTTCATATTTCTTCTCGGGGGCTGGGTTATCGTGGGTATGGGTCATCCGCACGTCGCCCGCCTCATTGCTGCCGCTCATCGCGAGCGTCTCCAACCACAAGAGGCTAAAGCTCGTTCGTGGTTAGATAACTGGATCAGTTCAGATGTTATCCTCGACTCCAGTCCTGAAACGCGTGAAGTGGAAATTTTCGAGCTACAGCGCAAAACCTCCGGTGGTGGCGAGTGGGAGCCTTGGGTTTTCAGTCCTTCACCTTACGATCCTTTGTCACAACCTCGAATTGCAGGTGAACGACCACGTGGAACACGCTTCTTTGAAGATGTCATGCCACCCGAAGCGTGGGAATGGAGTGAGAAGAAATGGGCTCTAGACCTTTGGAGTCGCGAATGGGTAGAAGAACGTATTATTACAGGCGTTGAAGTTGAGACAGAAGGCGAGCGTTGGGTTTATGACATATGGGACGAGCGAGACGAGCGAACGGGTGTTGTGGACGTTCTTATCAACGAGAAGGGGAAGCAAAAGGCAACCCCGAAACCAAGCTGGGAGGAGAATGAAGACGGCAGTGGCCGGAGGGGTGACTGGAGACGACGGCGATGGGTCAGATTGGTGAAGCGTAGGGCGGCTCCAGTACAGCCAAGTTGATCTGATATATCTCCGTAATATCGCTCTCTTACATTGATTTCTCGTATTATGCAGGGTGTTAGTCCGGGGCATGAGATGGCCTACACAAGTGTCCAAATATGGCCATTGTTATGTAAGAATTGACATGGCATTAAGAAAATCCATCTAAGTTATGCTCAGTCAATTGGACAGTATGGGCTACCATAAAATGAATACCAAAAATCCAATCCTCATGCTAAAGTCACGCTTTCAGAGTTCCAAGTGGTATCATTCTGAACAGGCCTCTCCTGTGGCCACAAAATCGGAGGTCGTCAGATGTCTCTGATTTGTGTCCCAACATTCTATATGCGCTTCGCTCATAACACGTCAAATCCGTGAATCGTAACGAGATAAAAGAAATTAAACTAAGACGTTGAATGAATATCATTGGATGGCCATCTTGTCGAGAATCTTCTGAATGCCCTTCGTGCTGCCACGGCCCTGGTCGAGCTCCTCGGCCATCTTGCGAGCCCGCTCAATGAGGACGCTGAGAACTTTACGGGTATACTCGAAGCTGCCTGTGGACTCCATGTAGGCAACAGCGTACCGCTTGATCTGGGTGTCCGAGGTCTTCTGCTTGAGGATGTTGATGAGCTGGAGATTTGTGGGGTTGGTGCGAATGCTGTGGATGACAGGGAACGAAAACTTGCCCTCGGTCAAATCCTCGCACATTCCCTTGTTATGGCTGTACTCCTTCGAGGACAAGTTCATGTAGTCATCTCGAATCTGAAAGATGAGGCCAATTAGGTTGACGAGCGGAACACAGTCTGTAGGACTAGGGCCGTTGGCTTCCGCCGCCATAAGCTTGATGCCGAGACGGAACAGGCCGCCCGTCTTGTTACCAACCATTTCGAGGTAGTCTTCTTCCGTAGGACAGGTAAGAGTGTCACGCCAAAACAGGTCCATGCCCTGGCCTCGGTGGAGGTTCACAAGCTCATCGGAAAAGATGGTGATTAGCTCTGGATTGTTGAGCTTGTGCAGCTCTTGTAGGGCGACAAAGTATATGTAGTTTGCCGAGTTGATGGTTTGAGCGACACCAAAGATGTTGTGTGCGACAGGGAAGCCACGGCGCAGCTCGGACGAGTCCTGCACGTCGTCGATGAGGAGCGAAGACTCGTGAAGCATGCCAACGACTCGGGTGATGACTTCGAGGCTCGACGTGGGCACATCGAGCCAGACATTGAAGGCGCCGATCAGCTGGGCGCGGAAGTCCTTGCCAGGATGGCTAATGACATAGTCGTAAGGTCCGCGGACGACATTTTCCTTCTCGTCAGTCCAAGAGCGCTTAGCCGTGAACTCGAGATCCTCGTGGGCGTAGCGCTCGGGATCGGGAGGCGGATTGGGAGCTTGCATGACGCCGTAACCGGCGTTTGACATCTGTGCCCTTGGGGAGAGCTGCTTCTGGCTCAACCAGTCGCCTTCTGGAACAGGGCGCAGAACGGGTTTTGTGGGTGTCGCGTTGAGCGAGGTCGGGATGCCGGTGCTTGAAGTGCGAGGTGGAATTGCGTTGGGAGACACAAGTGGGTTGGAGATGCCAGACATCTTCTCCATTGCCTTTGGCGAGAGCGACAGCATGTGTAAGGCCGACGGGGGCAATGCCTCAGGGTTGAAGGAGAGGATGGGGTCGGCCGTGGGGATCATGCGTGTTAAGTTTTTGGGGGGAGTAGAATGCGATTCGTCTCAGGGTAAAAGAGAAGAGGAGGAGGGGGAGGGGTCCTTTTTTGACGGATAATGGATGACGCTGCTGAAGATATTTGAGATGCTAATTGTAGAAAGAGAGGCAGAAATCAACACGGGACGGAAGCGAAATAATAAACAGATGCCGTATACGTGGTGTTTGACCCTGTCTTGTCTCGTGGCGTACTGATAGCGAATGGTACTGTCGGGATGCTCGGGTGAATCTACAAGTGGTCGACGTCATTGAATGTCCAGACGATACATGTCTAAGCCTGCCTGCTGCGACGATAGAAGGGTCATAGAGTTGACACTGAGCCTGTGCGCATGCTTGCAATGTGGATAATCTACTGAACCCAATTGCTCATGCGCTGAATAGGAGGAGCCTAAAAGCGAATCCTGCAGGCTGCAGCTATCCAGTTTGAGGTAGGACGATGAGGAGGATGGAGCTGCCCAGAGCTCTCTCTGTCTTGTGATAGAATGAGGGGTGAGGGTGAGGGTGAAGGTGAGCATGTGGGTGAGCATTTGTGGGCTAGGTACTTGTTCGTCCTACGCAGGACACCCATCTTTGCAGCTCGGCGCAGCATGAACTACAGGCACCATTCACAGCATGTCAAGTACTAACTGGCATGGCCGTGCCTCTTTTTAGGGGTTCCTATCACAAGCTAGTGCAGAATGGATGGGACGGGAGCTCTGAGACGGGAACGCAGCTTTGCTTTCCTTTTCTTTGTTGTTGAGAGGAGCTAGTGACAGGAAAATGGGTCTTTTCCAGGGGAAGATCAGCGCGGGATTGTGAATGTGATTGCGGGGGAAGAATCAATAGGCCCAAAAGCAGCCAAGCCAGGTCATTCATCAGTCCTAATAACTAAGTACCTAACCAGCTGCACTTGATAGTCATATTGACGTACATAGTAGATGGTAAGCATTCATACCTTATCTTTGATACATTCGTTGCCGCGTGATATGGAAGTGTTATTGAAAGATGGATAAATATATGGATATCTGTAAGTGAGTTAACCAGTTGATTAGTGGTGTAAACAATAGTGTTATGAGACAACAAATGAAACAAAGGAGGAAACGTTCTTTGATGCACCAGCTCTCCCTTTATCTATCCTCAACCCCATCTCACAATCATTAAATAATTCGATCCGTTGGGACAGAAAACACACCACCTCAGCCCATTGTAAGATCAGGGCTTGCGAAGCCCATGCTCAGCTCGCTGAGGAGTAAGGCGAAGACAAACACGTTGAGTCCATCCCTGGTTTCGCTTTGTCACGGACCATGTCTGACTGTACCTTGAGATCTCGTCAGACAATTCTAGATTTCACATGCAAATCAAGGGTGTACCAAAGAGCTGATCAATGGAGTCAGATCATGTTGCTTGAAGAACCCCTGCTGTTCAAATCTGGACCGTGGAGCTTTTGATGCGCCTACCCGGGACTACTCTTTCGATGCGCAAATTCGATAAGTTGGACCATGTTCATCCTTAAGGCAGTACTCTTCTAGTCAGTCTATGCTGTGAAGTGTCTCGCTCTGTGAATATCCATTCTAATCGTATATCTGACCAAGCGTCTAAATACTCCAACAAACCTAAGTCCCATATTTCGGCAACAGTCACCTCACGCAAGCCACAAAGCATTTGTTAATAGTTCAATCAATACCATGTATTGTATGATATCTTAATAGTAATGAAAGCACTAGGAGTCTACGAGGACAACTGCTGGTGACGTTAATAGAAGTAAAACATCATCGTATCACAATATTGTCCAGTCACTTCACCCCCCACTGACCACGGTGATAACAATCTCCGTCCACAATCGGCCGAAACATTTGTCATACGGCAACGGGGATCCGAAAACGCGAGAGCCGAGCCATCCTCTCGATCAACGTTAGTAGTTCTCAACGTTGATGAGCGGGAATTCATTGCCGTTGTTCAGGTGTCGCAGCCTATAGTGTAATAAGACCTCCCAAGGTATGACGACAGTGGTGGAGCGAAAGTGGTGATGCGGCATGAAGATCAGAGAACGGACTTAGATCTGATTTCTAATTTATTTCCGAGTCTGTGGAATCGACACTAGAAGCATAGCAGTGTCATTGACTTCAAGAGACCTCACTGGTCGATATCGGACATGACATAGTGACGCTGTGTGTTCAATATATAAATATGAGTCTTGGCTCTCTCATCATGACCAAATATCCCTATGCCTTGTATCATTGCCAACAGCCATGGCCCCTATACATCGAATATTCTCATCGGCGAATAATAAGCCCTATCGAACTAAGCAACTAGAAGAAGAAAACCCACCGTACTTAAACGAGGATGGCTACGTCGACTTTGCACCAGGCGACATTCAAAACCCACAGAATTGGTCTACTGTTCGGCGCTGGTCTGTCACGTTCTCAGCTGTGTTGCTCGTCCTGAATGCAACTTTTGCATCAAGCTCGCCTAGTGGATGCTTCCCGTCTATCTCAGAACACTTCCATGTATCCGAGTTGGTAGCAGGCTTGACCATTACCCTGTTTCTACTGGGTTACTGTGCTGGACCGCTTATCTTCGCACCACTAAGTGAGCTCTACGGAAGAAGATGGATCTTCTATATCACCTTTACGCTATATCTAATCTTTAACTTTCTGTGTGCCTGGGCACCTAACTTTGGCGCCCTCCTTGTCGGCCGTTTCCTCACTGGAACGTTTGTCTCTGCACCTCTCAGCAATGCACCTGGCGTACTCGCGGACCTGTGGACCCCGATCGAGCGCGGAAATGCCATGGCAGGATTTTCTGCCATGGTATGGGTTGGGCCAGCATTAGGGCCTGTTATTGCCGGGTTCCTCGAGCTGAAGAAGGACTGGCGTTGGAGTTTCTATGTCCTTCTCTGGCTTGGTGGTGTAACAGCTCTCGTCATGTTGACTATTCCCGAGACACATGCTCCCACAATTCTCCTTAAGAAGGCTCGAAGAATACGAAAGGCAAAGATTCCTGGTTATGAGAATGTCAAAGCTCGTTCTGAAGAGGGTGATCGTACACTGAAAACCGTGTACCGTATCGCCTTAACCAGACCGTGGATTATTCTCTTTGACACCATATCCTTTCTCTGCGCAGTATACATGTCAGTAGTCTACACGTTGTTATACATGCTTTTTAGCATCTATCCAATCGTGTTTCAGCAACGACGTGGCTGGAACCCCGGTGTTGGAGAGCTGCCCTTGATTGGGACTGTTATTGGTGAGTACTTTTCATTGATACGACTTCACCGTAATTACACTAACGTACTCGTAGGTGCGTTCATCGGTGGTGGCATAGTTTTGATCGATACGCGAATTAGAAAGAAGAAGATTGAGAATGGGGACAAACAGATGGAGCCCGAAGACAGACTGCCGTTGGCAATGATAGGAGGTGTTGGATTTGCCGTGACCATGTTCTGGTTTGCATGGACGGCTGAGTATAAGTAAGTAACTAAGATACCACAGTACTCCCCATATCTCAATTCGTCACACGCTCTCGAGCTTGAATTCTCCCTCTTAGATATGTATGTATACTGACATAGGTCCCTGCAGCTCTATCCATTGGATCGTACCGACGCTGGCGGGAACTTTCCTAGCTACATCTCTGATGTTGATCTTTGTGGCTTTCCTGACGTATCTCGTTGATGTTTATCTCATGTTCGCGGCATCTGCTATTGCTGCAAATACCATTGCTCGATCGGCATGCGGCGCTGCTGCCCCCTTGTTCACAACCCAAATGTTCGATACATTAGGAGTTGGTGGTGGTGGAAGTCTAATCGGAGGAGTTGCTACAGTCCTAGCCGTTATCCCGTTTCTGTTCTACCGATACGGGAAGCAGATTAGAATCAGAAGCAAGTTTGCGCCGACAAAAGAGAAGAGCGAAGCTAGGGAGAAGGATGAGGAACAGGCCGGCAACAATGCCACTGCTCGGAGGAACAGTGTTTTATCTCATCCAGATAGGGCGAGTAGCTCGGATACCACAGTGACCGCCGCATGATACTAGAGGTCAGTTTGGCACAATACTCGATATGCTTTTGAACTGTCATCTTAGACATGCCATAGGTCATCGATAATGTCACCTCAACGCTTTTGTCGAGAGTTTTGAGGCGCCTGAAGAATATTTACATCCGAGTTTCCCAACATCGTTGAACGTTGCCTGGACAAGACTTGCACTCCGTATCCAATCACTACTAATCTACACTTACAACTTAACATTTCCCCGAGCACCTAAAAAAGAAAATCACCTAGGAGGAGGGGCTTTAATCGGTAACTTTGTGTTGTCCATGCTATACGGCTCGAGTTACTTCACTGAGAAAGATATAAAGATATCATTACGTATAATGTGGTTTCAAGCTCAAGGTCCCAGTAGGGCATGAGAATCCTACTGGTTAATACACATGACTGACAATCCCATTTTAAAAAAAGGTGACCTTTTGATCGATGTCGATAGATACCTTTTAGGACAATTTAGAGGCAGGCACAGAACAATACTCCGAATCTAAATCAATCTTAGGTATTTGAATAATGAGATCACAGTGTAAGAAAGAAAATTCCTTCGGCTGTTTGTATGATCCTTTTTAGTATACCAAGTATCGGAACATGCATTTGTCGTCCTTTCACACAATTGTGCATGAAATGCATGAAGCTACCTAGGTATGTAAGGTAATCAATGATGATTATGTGAGCACCCATCCCCTCTTAAGCTCGGAACTTCTTTGTGTCGATCTTCGACCATCTGCATTGTAAACACTCCATCTTTCTAACTTCAAGTCGTCACTATGGGACGGACAGTAATTGCATTCGACCTCTACGGTACTATTCTCTCCACCGGATCCATAGCAGGAGAGTTGGCAGAATTATACGGGCAAGATAAAGCTCAGTCAATTGCGGCTCTAGCAAGGCGATATCAGCTTGAATCAACATGGCGCGTGACCAGCATGGGTAAGTTGATACAGGTCAAAAATCAAAGCCATTACTGATGATATATGAAGGCACTTATCGCACATTTAGTGACTTGACGAGATGGTCATTTCGGCAAGCTACGAAAGAGATTGGTGTCGAGCTCACTCCTGAGCAGGAAGAGCGTATCATGGATGCATATAACGGCCTCGACACATTCCCAGATGTGGATAGGGCGCTTTTGAAGCTGGCAGAACATGCATCTATCGATCCCTACATCTTCTCAAACGGAACCAAGGCCATGATGACATCGTCACTCGATACATGCCCAACTTTGTCAAGAGTGAGCAACATTTTTCCCCACGAGAAAGTCGTCAGTATCGATCCTCTCAGGGTGTTCAAGCCGCATCCTCGTACGTATGAGTTTATGGCTGAGACAGCGGGGATGAAGTCTCAGCTTGATAGGGTTTGGCTGGTAAGCTCGAACCCATTCGATGTCACTGGTGCTGTAGCTTTTGGATTCAAGAGTGCATGGATCGACCGTGAAGGAAAAGGCTGGACTGATACACTGGGGTGTTCACTGGGGCTTCAGCCGACTGTGATAGCGTCTGGTGTGGATGAAGCTGTGCAGGTAATCTTGCGTCAGCCTGAGGAGTTTAAGTAGGGCGATGGCGATTTTATGCCGAATTATATTGACGCTCCTAGTATAATTCCTGCCATCCATCCATCCATTCATTAGTTCTCGGATATGATGCGAGGCTATTCGATCAGAGACAAGTATCCTTTAATCATTGAAGTGGTGATTTTGATGACTGCAATTTGGAGATGGAGAATGTAGCTGCTAACTGCAGTATTGAACTTCTTCACGTGTTCAAACAAGAATTCGCAAGAAGCTAACGTTCCTATAGTAATAGTACTGAGAACATAACCAGGAACCAGCTGGGAGAGTATATTAAGTTTATCGGCCGAGAGTAGATATTGGGTCGAGACAGTTTCGAATACCCGTGGTAACCTAACCAATACCTATAATTACCTTCTAGACGAGAAGCGAAGCAGGTGACATGATGAAGTGAGAATTATCGAACGTGCAATATCGGTGAGCCATGGAATCTGATCAATGAGAAGTTCTAAGGTACCTACCTAGGTAGGTACTAAACTATGAACCTAGGTACATAGTACTAACCTCCACTACTAAATGCTTTTCGTGGCCTTAAGGTTGTTTCCTTACGGCTTAACTGCCGAAGACCTACCTACCTCAGAGAGGTACCGTTGCTGCGTAAACAAGTCCACGGGTCTCTGCCTACCAAGCGTTCTGGCATTCCATGTCTTGGATCAACCATTGTTATATTCGCACCTAGAGCCCCGATCCTATTCCAAGCTTCCATCTCAGTCCCTCACAAACAAGATTCTGTTTGGACCTACTGGGACATTCCCTTCACCAACGGCGCAGATGACAGTTGACAGCCCACTCTAGCGTGATCCTAGCTGCATATCCCCTGTAGGCCCCTGTAACCCCGGACCATGCCAGCCCGCTTGTCAGCTGGCGACCCTTAAATCTTGGAATTCCCTAGGTCGTTGCTGTGCCGATAGCTCCACTCCATGGATTGTTTGGTGACAGCAACCTGACGACGATCATCCATCTTTCTACTTCTTTACACTATTGCTTGGGCTCGGTGACTCTCGGCGGTGTGACTGCGATACTCAGTTTCCATTTCTTCTATTCTTCCTGTCCCCTTCATTAAATGTTTTCTTAAACACTCTTTTACAAAGTACCAGCCGCAATCGCATTAAGTCGATATTCTTCAGCCTTTCCATCTTTACCGTCTCCGGCATAACGTTCATTACTGTTCCCCCACGCACAGATACACGATGGAGTCTCTTCTGTCTCTCGCCTTCGACAACCTTTCCTCGTATGACGGACCAAAAGTCCGTAAGGGCCTTCGCCAGGTCGAAGGCCTTCTAGCTCAGATCTGTCTCTCTAAAGCAAACTCTCGAAACGACCATGCACATCGAAACCGGGATGCCGACGATGATGGGAGTGAAGGATCAACACCTTCTCAAAAGGATCTTTCCCAGCTCTCCCGCGACCCGGCATTTCGAGAGTTTTTCAAGCTGCAAGAGGGATTCGAATGGAACGTTGCGATGCGCCTTATCAGCACTCTCGATCGACTTATGGCTAAGGGTGGTGATGGTGGAAACGACCTGTTGATTCTGAGTGCCCTTGACCTCATACAAGGAGTCTTGTTGCTACATCCTCCCAGCAAGTCTCTCTTTTCCCGAGAACAGAATATGAACGTATGTATACAACGACTAAGCCGCTAAATACCACAAAACTAACATCATGTAGCTCCTCCTTGACCTTCTCGAGCCTTTCAACTGCCCTGCGATCCAATCTGCGACTCTCCTCACACTCGTCACTGCTCTTATCGAGACCCCAATTAACACCCGTACCTTTGAGAGCCTTGACGGTCTTCTCACTGTCACCTCTCTTTTCAAGTCGCGATCCACCGCCCGTGAGGTCAAGCTGAAGCTCGTTGAGTTTCTCTACTTCTACCTCATGCCTGAGATTCCTTCGATCCCCCGAGCCGATCAGCGCGATAGTGTCCCCGCTATGCTTCAACGAAGTCCTAGTAAACTCGCAGGTGCCTTCAATGCTGACTCACGTCGCAAGCGTTCCGGCTCTGATCCTGAAGGTGACATCTATCTCACCACGGAGGAGAAGCAGGAGCTGCTTAGCCAGCATCTGAGCAGCGTTGAGGATCTTGTCAAAGATCTCCAAAACTGCGCACCTTTCGGCGGCGTCGTCTGCTAAATGCTGGTCCAAAGACTGAAGTTGTGGTTTAGACTGTTTTCATATTTCCAGTACATCTCATTTGACGGCGTTGTAAGGACTATTAGGTGGTGCCTCTATACTTTACTTTTTGGCGCGGAGTTCTGAGGGATAACTTCGGTGCACATAATAGCTTGTTTGTCGCGCCGGGACTGTTGAATATTTGGATCAACCCTTTGCACGAATGGTCTGGCTAGGCGTTTATAAGCAACAGAAACGAATAGAACGGAACGCATTTCTCCTTTGAATTATTGCTTTTGCTTTGGTACAACATCCCCCGCTACACTCTGTGGAGGGGTGGGAACGATCGACAAAGGACGGTCTGGTGTTATGGCCGAGTCGTTACCGTATAGTTCGAACCGGCCGTCTATTGTTTCAGAAAGGGGTGTCTGGTATATACTCGGGCTGGACATGGGTGACAAAAGATCGCTGCCCTCCCTATTCGCTGAGTCGATCTCCACGGGTGCGGCGATATCTCCAGGGGATTGTGCATGCATGGGCACAGCAGCAGTTCTTCCAGGTGAGGTGACCCGTGAGCTTGCTTGTTCTGTATATGGTCCTGCTGCTGGGTCTGGTCCAAAGTAATCCTGGGTCAAGCCTGATCGGGCATGGCTCCCGGATATATCTGTCATGGCATCTCTAGGGGGCGCACTGCCCTCTCCTTCGCCAGATGCTGATGGCCTTGATGCAGTGCGCTGGCGTCGCTTGCGCAGACACATCCAAATCAGCCCGCCAACAATGATGCTCGCTCCCACGACGACACCGACGCCAATACCAGCCTTTGCACCGTCTGACAGGCCGCCGCCGCCATTGTCGTCGTCGTCGTCGACAATTGTGACACCGCTTTCTGTCGGTGTAGCTTGAGCGCAATATCCGTTACCGCTGACCTGGGTGCACTCTTGGTCATTGTCACAGCAGCCTGCACCATCAGAGCATTTATGCTGCGAGGTGGTACAGCCTGAAGGAATGGGCGACAGGAGGTCGGTTCTCGAAGCCGGTCTCGTAGAGGCGCAATCGCCACCCTCCCGACACTCGGAGTTATAGCCGCAGCAGTTTCCACCAAGGCTACTTGGGCAAAGGTAAAGACTCGTCCTGGGACACTTGCGATCACAGCAGCCCTCTTGCGCAGTGGCAGTTCCACTTCTTGTGACGGTGCGGGTACAGAAATAAGCATTCGAACTACACGGCGAATCGCTGGAGCAGTTGGAGCCTATAGGACAGCATTTCGGGTCGCCTTTTCGGTTGACGTAGCAATAAGAGTCGTTGTCGCAACAATCATCTGGAAATCCAACCTCTAGACCTGTGGCATAAATGAGTTTGGTGTCCGAGAGCATTATAGCATCCGGATGGACCTACAGTTGTGATGATTCGAACCACAGTCTCCTGCGCGTTTTGCCAAAGGAAATGAGCGATCGATAAAGAAGCGTGGCATCAAGTTGCCAGGAGCCGCTTGGAGTGCCTCATACTGCCGTGGGTTGTGCGCAACGGTAAGAGGGACAAAGACGAGACAACTGAGAAGCTTCATGATGAGAGCAGCAGAAGGAAGACTGACGGAAGATTCAACAAAGCGTAGTGTTCATCGTCGCATCTCCTATGAAGCGTATTCTATCTCACAGCTGAGTTAACCAGAAGCCGGAATTTGATGAGCGCAGTTGAACAAAGAAAAAGAATGTGATGGGAGCCAAGACTCAAGAGAGGTCTATGCATGTAAGACTCGCCTGGGCGACGTGCGACGTGCGACGGAGAGTGACAGGGCCTCCACGTTTGCGATCTGCCCTACCATATCGGATGCATGGCTATCATTGGTCTGCTGTCCAATGTGCTTCAGGTTCATTTCCAATTTCTCATTCATTTCTGGAGCTGTTAAGGAAATGGTCGACCACAACGTGGCAGAGAACCGTTACAATGGGGCTGAAGCCACAAGTGCTTACATGGCATTGCCCAACGTGGTATAAAACCCGCAATGGTCGCTTCAGGCTGACATGTTCACCGGAGAATTAGATTTGATGTATTATATATATTACTGAGTGTCCAGACCTGTCGAGAATGGGGACTTGAAACATGCGAATCACATGATGGCGGATAATAGCGAGGATACGTTGTAAGCGGTATCAGCTGTGACTGTAGTTGAGTACGATGAATAAGAAGCATCCATGTATGCATATGATTTTTGGTCTATACAATCCCTGCATCTTAGGTGTATCCCAAATCTCACCAGGAAGATCTTTTGTAAACAGGACAGACTAATACAGATGTACGAGCGAGTTTCTGCTGCGAATCTGACAAAGAATCAAACGCCCATTGTGGACAAAACCCGCCATATAACGACAATAACGCTATTATACATTGGTCTGGTACAAAGAAGAACGGCCAACGATGCCTTGCTTATATGTTCCATGAGTAAATCGATATGCTTAAGACAGATCAAGTACATATCTACATTGTGTCGCAACGGTACAGGAGCTGATATTCTTCCCACATTTACGAACAGCTTATCAAATATGGCCTGTACCTTCACCATGCAAATATTCGTTGAGTATCTGGATTACATCTCCGGGTTCTATATCGAGCTCGCATTGCATGTACACTATATCGATGCCCTAGTCATAAGACGACTCTTCATACCACCTGCAAGGTGAACACAGGAGCACACCCTCTGTTTCAGTGGGCTCACGGCAAATACTCTGGTGTTGTGAGGTCATCTCTGCTTCCTAAATCGGTGGATGTTCAATACTGCCAGGAGAGAAACCTTGATATATTATAGTGGTTTCCTTCTTGACGACTAAAATGATTCCACAGGGATATCAAATTCCTCTACAATATTGATCGAACCCACGTCGACCTTCGGTTTTCAAACCATGAATAAATTACCAAGCCAAGCCTTCCATACTTACTGAATGAGAATTACGGATACCGAGCATTACTCGCTGAGTTGTAGGATGATAACGAGGAGTTGGGAATATGCTTAGTATCAGTAAGAAGCCATAGTACAGATAATGTCCCTTGATACAGTCAATGGGAACGCTTGTAGGAAGAATAAAAGAATCTCCATGAAACATTGAGAACGCTAAAATGTCTCGTCCCGTTTTCTCTTCAAAGTCCCGATCGCATCCCTTGCGATAATCTTGATACGTGATGATACTACCGACGATTTGGGTTGGAGGCTCCCTCAAGATTACGCCAGTAGCTTAAGCTTGTGCATGAATTCTTAGGTACTGACTGGTATGGAGACTCTACACCATGGTGTAATATATTCGGATTCCACGAACGGCTGGCTGGACACAATCAACTCTGGGAGTCCTTTTAGAAAACTTACATCTGAGACTTTCATTGGCAGTGTCAGTGAGGTACTTGATCTGAAAAGAATTGCCGTGATGCACTTCACCGGAGGCCGCTTCTGGTCACTCCTTGAATATCTCGATGGATGCTCACAAGCGGCTCCGCAGTGAGCACTTAGATATTGTGATGTTGTAATGCCCCATGACATCATCAAAATTAGCTGATACTATGAGCTTGATCTTGCAGACTGTTTAGATATTCTGTTTATGAACCTTGTATATTTGGTGTTGATCCCTTTCTTAACAGCGTAAAGCCATTTCTAGCTACTGGTTCAACGCCTTGGAGCTCGGCATGCTCTCTTGTCGGCTGTTTCAACTCCCGCGATGCTGTCCATACTGGTTTTTAGCCTTGTCCGAGATTATTTAAGTCGCCTCTTCAAATAATACCCTCACCCTTTCCCCATAATGACCTTTCGTAGCATTAGATCCGCATTCTTACGTGACGAGCATGTCTACATACAACTACGGCTTGCCTTTGACTCGGGATACGACTCTGCCCGGTTTCAAAATTTGATAGTGTAGCATTCGCAGGAACTGTGGATAGTTACATGCTATTGCTTTTCCAACGGCACGGTACTGTGGGTGAAACAGGAATTAATGCTCATTTATATGACTAGCGTACCAAAGGGGGAATCCAACATAAATTCATAGTGATCATTCTAAAACATCCAAACCCAAACATCATTAAGGCACTTAACTCCAGAGCAAATCATGCATATCTGCATCTATGCTCTCTCTGCCAGACTAGCTGATGACCTCGGAATTGTTCTGAATCCACTGTTTGGTGTTGCATGGAACGTCTCGTTGATGCCTCCAGCATCATGAGATGAAGGTGAAGAAATAGACCGAGCCTCTTGGCTGGGTTCAGGGGTTGTCATGACATCAACATGGCTCAAACTGATGGTGGTCGTTGTTGTAGTCAGAATGGCTTTTGTCTCTAACGCGAGAGGAGTTCCCCTAAGAGTTTCTATCAAATGATCAGTGGAGTTCTCTAATCTGTCTTGGTTATGGATGTTTGTACCTGGTGTGCTTTCCTTATTGACACTCTCCTCCAAAGCAAGCTTTCCACCCTTATTGAACGCTGCATTCGTGCCTGTATCTTCGTCTTCTTCGAAAACATGGCCGGGGGCTTTCAATGATGCAGTGGGTTGATTTGCATTAACAAACTCCGTGCGTACAGTAGTTGCTAGGATGGTTGAAGACCTTGTGAGGACTGATGTGAAAACAAGAGTTCTAAGGCTCAACGCTGTCGGCCCAGGTCTAGAAACAGCAGATGGATTTGAGAGTAGGGTTGGTGCTGCAAGCTGCTGAGAATCTCCAGCGTTGATGTCCGGGGTGGAGGTGGCTTCTGTCTCTAAAGCTGGAGCCGCTCCCTCGGCCTTGGCAGTTGCAGGGGAGTCTTCTGTTATCTGTGTCCCGGATTCCGTTGCAGAAGCCTTGGAAGAATCTTCTTCTGGAGTAGGTACGAGGACGACAGTTATCGTGGTATCTTGTGCTGGCTCGCTCGCGGATTCGATCCTACCACCTGGTGTGCAGTTAGGGTTTCGACTTATGAAGGGTAGATTACTTACCTCGTCAACACACTCATCATCTTTGGCACCAGATGGCCTCTGGGTCTCTTTAGTTGCTGGAGTACTAGTCTGCCCACCAAAGCTGACATTGGTCGTGACCGCCTGGACAACATCATCGGGATATTCTACAAATGCCCGCCCAGGCGCAGTACTGCTAGCCTCAGGAGCCTGCTTGGCAGATGAGATACGAGGATCTTTGGCCTTTCCTTCTTCTGTTGGTTTGACATCTTGTGCTGTGTTGAGTTGTGTTCCCGTCGAAGCCTGAACTTCACCAGTCGGTTGAGCAACAGCATTCTTGGAACGGCCACCTGATTTCACGACGTCCCCCTTTCCAGAAGCACCTGCACCCTCAGGCAGTGTCACGGCAGCGCTGTTGCCAGACAGCCTTTCAGCTTCAGGCTCGCTGTTAGTAGATTCGCCGTTTATCACCTGGGTAGGATTTGCCGCGGGCTGCGCCAGATCAGTCTTTGCCTGCCTGCCAGTATCTATCTGCGATACATGTAGTTGAGCTGGAGCGCCAGGAGCCTGAGACTCGACAATCGTGGCGGCGTCTGCCTGTGACAGCAACGGGGAGCGTAGAGAAGGGTCCGAAGCCACAGGAGCTTCTGATGGATCCGAAGCAACGCCTGGTCTAGAAACGCTGGCTTTGCCAGAGGGAGCAGGCTCCTTAGACTGTTCGCTACCTGTAGACTCATCAGAGGAACCTGCAGGTAATTGATCGGACTGGCCAGACTGGCCTCCTGACGAAGTGCCTGTCCCTAGAGTAGGTTGTTTGTCCGTGGCACCAGATGGCATCATGCTGTTCACCTGCTCATGGAGTTTGTTTATCTGATCCAGAAGTTCCTGAAGAGCTTTTTCGGTAACCTCAACCATATCGCCCTGGTCTTCAACCAATCTCTTCACAAGGCCGAGAGTTTGGCGAAGTCCATGACCATGGTGTGATTCCCCAGGAAGCTCCTTGAAAGGCACCACCTTGAAAGATCGAGCCACCGGTTCACTGAAGACTACGCCTGGCAGTCTGAACGAAGCTTTGAGACGAGGGAGAAGGGCCGCATGGGTGAATGGGGTGGTAAGGAAGAGACATGGTAGAAGCCAGAGAAGAATGTATAATCGAATCATTGTGTCGACTTGGTGATAGAAAAGAATTGAATAAACAATGTGCGATGCTCTGCCGTCCATTGCTGGCTGACAGGTTGCCATGATATACCATTTGTCACGGGCTTTAGGTTGTAGGGGAGCAACACATTCCAACTATCGTGATAGCAACGCTTGCCATGGTGTCTCAGTCTCGGGTGGGCATACAATGAATGGATCAACACTTGTTGTTTCACCGCGGACCAAGGAAGCCTTTCATTCCTGTGGTGAGTGGGCAACTTAGGCAGTGTCACGCTTAGTTTTCCTTGTAGACACCCCGAATGAATCATATGGATAGTCAAATGTAGCGTGGTTATGCACTGAAGCAGGTATTCTTGATATTGTTGCCGAGTGCAGCCCATCCGCCATGTTGATCGCTGCGGGGAATCGAGGCAATGCGCAGCGGAATCTCTCTGGTGCATCACGGATGACGGAAGTCAGAATTGGACACAAGATTTGTTTGGCGGAGTCGTGACGACGCTTGGGTCTTGGTCAGGTAAGTTAATTTCTCGGCCGGGATACTTCGCTCGGTACTACCAAACTACGAATGGATCTCGGTTGCACCGGAGTAAGTTTTTACAATCACAGGTGGATAATTGTAACCACGCGATGTGGCATTTGGGGGAGAAAGTTTGGATAGAGAAACCGAAAGCTTCAAAGGTAAATATTAATCGGGATTTACTGTTATTCGTGTCTGCAAGGATCGTGAGGTATTCGGTGATGATTTGCACAAGATGAAATTTCAAGGGACTTGACCACTTGGAATCAGACTTGAATTCAAAGGCCTCAGGGAGCAAGACAAGATCAGACCTGGAGATAGTGGGTCAAAATAAACCCAGCAAAAGGTGTCCTAAATTTATGCTATATTACCTTTGTCTTTTTGTCTTTCTATCATTTGGGATCGAGGTCCTGAGTTTTCTTTTCCTCCCTAGACAGGCTAGAGAAATCCGAGTGGCAGTTAAAAAGCAATGCCAAGTTATTCTGCAGGTGAATTGAATCGTAGAGTTCCGCCACCCTGATTATTGCAGGGGCTCGCTGAGTGATATTGAACCGTCATCGCGGGCTAAGGGAGGGCTATCACGCAAATGCGACTGAATGAGGGGGATAAAAAGGGCCAGATGGAAGTTACAGTGCTCTCCGAATTGGCTGAGGTGAGTTTTGTCGGTTTCATCGGTTATTCAATATATGTGAATATTGATCAGGGTCATTGTGACCATTACAGAGCATCGCAACATGAAGCCGTGAAGAGTCTTGTGTATATTTAGCAATGAAATGGCTACTGACAAGGTGAGGCAATGAAATTCGTGCCTCTTTGGCGATCAAAATACGTGGCGATCATCGCTGATGGATTGCAGGTACAATTCGGGGGCTGAAGGCGATGAAGTGACCGTGGGAACTCGATTGAAACGAGCTTTCGGTCGCTGAGTTCGCTCAGTCGCCTAGGAGGAGTGGAATAACAATAGAATTCGAGGCGCTGCTTTGAGAGAGATTAAGGACATACCGGGGCGTTGATTGGCTGGAAAGAAGCGGTACCCCTGCCATGCGGCAGAAGTGGCACTAAACTCAATCTGGTAACAGAGGAGACGGGCTGGACCTGGGCCTGAAATCCCCAAGTTTGTTCGTCTGCCACTGCCACTGCCACTTGCTCTCGCTCCTGCTCTGACTGAGTGAGTGTGAAGAAACGCGGGAAATCAAACCAACCCAACCCAACCGATTTTTCCTCTCCTTGTGCGCCGCCCTCGGCCCCAGCTCCAGAATCCAAAATGACAACAATACCAAGACCCCAACCTTACAAGACAAGGCTTTTGCCCTCTGTTCCATTACTTTCATTTCCACTTTTCACCACCGCAAACCCATCATCACCACCCTGAAATCAAACTTGGCCCGGCACCAGGCTGAATGACAAACCGACCTGTCTGTCTGTGATCGCAACTCAGCTCCTCCTAATAAATCTCCCACTACTACTACTAAGACTCGCTCCACGCAAGCCCCAAAAGCCCACCACCCCTGACCACGTCTTGTCCACCACGGGATCACCACCGGGTCTTTGGTTATTTGCCGCCTCTCCCGTCACCAGTCTATTCTCAAATCCTGCTCCTTTCCCTAACCTTCTTCCACTATCCTTCGCCGCTTGCAAAATATCATCAATCAGCACCACACATCACCTTTTCGTCAGACAACCCTTCCTAGACAATAGCATCACCATCAGCTCTTTGTAACATCGACCTCTCTCAACACCATGGCTCCTCCAGTCAAGTCCGCCGACGCGCGACGCAAGTCCAGCACCAAGGCCAGCTTGATTGTCACTCGCAAGGTGTCGCCCGACAAGTTGCGTGCTCTGCTCGCGCCCGACTCTATCAAGGAAGAATCTCCCTCCAAGGACATGAAAGCCAACGCCGACTCACCTACCGATGCCGTGTCCGCTTCTGGCTCGCAACCACCAGCCAGCAACACGAATGGCGACAATGCCTCGGACTCCAACGCCGCTACTCCTGTTCCTGAGGCAACTCCCGCTGACGGGACACCAGCCCCTTCGGCTATGGGACCGCCTACCGATGGACCGAAGAAGAAGGGCGTCAAGCGATCTGCCGCTGGCGCCAACGGTACAATAGATGGTGTCCCCAAGCCTCGAGGAAAGCCTGGCCCCAAGAAGAAGCCCCGTCTGTAAGTTTTTGCAACCCCAACACATATCTGAACATTGGACTGACCACTCTTCCCAGGGAGGACGGAACGATCGATCACTCAGGTTCCAAGCCCGCCGGAGGTCACAAGCTGGGGCCCAAAGCGAATCAAGGGGCTATCAACGCCGGACTTCGCGCTCTCGATCGCTCAGGCAAACCCTGTCGCCGATGGGCCAAGGGTGGATTCCAACTCAAGAGCTTCACCGGTGTGGCATGGGAGATTCCTCGCTGGGTGGCACCTCAAAAGAAGGCCCCCGAATCCAGCGCCGAGGATTCTACTGCTGCATCAGCCGAGGGCAGCAGTAAGGAGAACAAAGAGAACGGCCACGAGAGCAACAGTGCTAGCAATAGCAATACTGCCAACGACGTGGAGATGCAAAGTGCGCCCAGTAACCACGCCTCGTCGCCGGCACCTCTTGCTATCGCCGCTGCTTCATAAAAGATCACTCTACGATGCTACATATTTTCCCTTTTCGTTTGGCTCTGATACCAGAGAATGTTTTATAGCGCGAGATATTGCGGGCGTTCTAGGTTGGCAGACAACTCATCCTTGGCTCGTCAATGAGACTGAGATGCTCTCATACCGAGCATGACCGTTCATTCATTCGGAATCTTTTTATGTTTTTCAAAAAAGCGACGCTGGTGTGGCTGGGCGTTACGGAACAGCGAGGATGGAACGCTGTGGAAAAGGATTGGCATTAAACCGTACCAGGGCTGGCGGAGCATATTTTTGATGTACAATTGCTGTTACGATGGGGTAACGTTAGATATACTCTGGTAATTCTCTGAAATGAGCAATCAAACATTTGTTCTTGAAGGATATATGCTATCTGTCATTCTACCATCCATGCGCCCGTAGCTTGGAAGACGGGCGCTAATCCGCTGTTTACTGCAAACGTTGTGCTCTTGTCGCAGCCTATCTAAAAGTAGTGTCGATAATTTCAGTCGTTAATGGCTCACCCCTTGAGATTACGCGCCACGTAGGTCTAAAAGAAGCTGTGACGCAGATGCCATCTCGCGATGACTCTAAGTAGGCGTGGCAGAAAGCTCTTCATGTCAAGAATGATTCTCTAAGCGTTCTCATCAGGTAATATGATTGATCGCAATGTTGGAGCCAAAGTCACATGTCCTCATTTTATCGCCTGTTTCGACGAGTAATGATCTCTTACATGAGGGAATTCTCAAATCCAGCGGTCGGGGAAGAGTTTTCGGGGGTTGAGATGGCCCAATGGCCAGACTGTGGATACGTTTTGGTTCGTCTTTCTCATCGGGGTCATGTCTTGATGTTGTGGTGTGGTTGCAGGGAGCTCACAAAGCTTAGTCATCGACACCACAGGCGTCCCGTGACTTTCATGCCCGTTTGACTATGGTAGGGGATGAAAGTGTAACTGTATTGCGCTGGATTTCAATTGATACTTGGTTGATTGTGCTTTGAATGGTTTGCGGTTAATCGTGGGATCTTGCTTTTAGGATAAAAATGGTGGCTGATGAATGATGCCTGGAGGGGCTTGAGCGAACAGGTTTGAAACCGAAACCCAAACCAACCTGGAATATCCATATCGAGATGGAGATGCTCATTGGAGGCACCGGAATAAGTCAGCGAATAACCTCGCCAACTTATGAGCGAGGAAACCTCAACTTGTTTCTGCACCAGGGCAGGGCAGGTTTAGCTATTGCTACTGTCATCACTCGAATGTTTCTTTCCGAAACACGGAAACGCGCTGAAAGAAAGAGGTTCAGGACCATGTGCTATCGTGCTATCGTCCATTATCACGCCTCAGCCTTTGGCCATGTTGGGGCGATTCCATTTGCATGGGGACCTGGAGCAATGCAGGTTAGAAAGGGTCCGGCCCGGCAGCGGGGAAGCTGGGCCTCCACTGTTAAGTTGATGCAGCTGTTTGCTAGGTGAAAGCTTAACAGACAAGGTCAAGTCAGGCCAGGCCAGGCAGGACTATACCCGCTGGGGGAGAAGAGTGACCCTCGTGATAGATAGCGCAAGTTGGTAGCCATGATGAGTGATGTGATATGTACAGTATCGGCTTTTCTCGTCAAACCAGACTCGATTCATGTTGACTACTAACCTATTAATGATGGCTAATTGACGAGTCATTCCTACTTCAGATACATCCGTATCTTCCTCTTCTTCCTCTTCTTTTAACCTGAGTCTCTTTAGCTGCTAGAAGTTAGCGAGTGCTAACGGTGACGCGCTGTTGTTCTGACGGGAACCACCTCCACCTCCACCTCTACCCGCCCCGTCCATCACCATCACCATCACCATCACCATCACCATCCACTCGTCTTCTC